ATTACGGTTAAAAAATTGCCATTACATTCTGGAATCTAAGGAAGTAAAACCACAAAAATAACCATTGGTTTAGTCCCAACGCAAGTACTTGCATAGTTAGTACATATACTGACCTTCCTTAACCTTAGCCTCATTATACCATCATTCTAATATCATACATATGCCCAGAAATTCATGAATCTAATTATAACAGACTGAATTCTGGGTAACTGCATACGCGATAGACAAAGGGTTATATAACAACTAAATGTCAATCAACTGACCTCATATGCCAATCATCTGGCACCACCTCTGTAACCACACATCAAGGGCCATATAGGGTATACTTGCCGAATTCTGCAGGGCTACAGCCATCTCTGGCATAGCCCATTTCTCTCTTGAAACATACTTTAATAAATCTTACTTGTCCTGAATTTCGCTGATGTGTAATTCTTTACTGTGTTGGTGGAAAGAACCGAGCTTCCTCAGCGCCCTCTAGCGGTGACACTTCAACCACTCCAAAATGGAGAAGAGGGCAGTGTATCCCTTTGTCCCAGATGGCCCACTCAGTGCCATCTTCCAGTGGAGGAAAATGAAGAGTGGCACTCATTTCGTGTTCCGGTTCCATTTTTCCTAGTCACTAGTCTCACAGCTCTTCTACCTGGCTTAATCCTCCCACCCCAATTCACTGGATAGGAAATCAAGGCGGAAGAGATAAGATGGTTTCTACAAGGTCACACGGAGTATGGATTCAGTCTTGCACCTTATGCCTCCTAGTCTGGAATTTAAAAAAAAAATTATTGATTCATTTTTTTCAACAAATACCTGAGCACTCACCAAATGCTGGGGAAGGTCTTGAAGCCAAGCTCTGAACCTTTCAGACCGGGTCTTTCTCTCACAGACCTTGAAGATTAGTAAGGGAGAGAGTCATTAAAGAAATAATATGAAATACATCAATATAAATAGTGATAAGTACTCTTTTAAGGGTATGAATGCTAACACCATATTTCCTAGATTGGTAATCCCAGCTCTGCCATTCAGTGTTTTCCTTGCAAACGGGCCCCAGTCCTATTTGCAAAACGGGGCTTATAATACTATTCCTCTATGCACATGGAGTTATTGTGAATATTAAATGAATTAATGCAATGTAAAACATGTAGAACAGGCCCAACACAATTTGAGTTCATTTAATCATTATCTATTATGATGATAGGAAAAAGCAGGGCTCTGTCAGAGTAAACGAGAGGACTGTCTGTGAAAATGACTTAAGACCTAGAAGATGGTAAGGCTCCAGCCAAGCAAAGTGGACAGATAAGAATCTAAGGCCTCATCCTCGGTACTTGGGAATGTGATGGTATTTGGAGATAGGGCCTTTAGAGAGTTAATTAAGTTAAAATGAGGCCTTTAGGATGGGCCCCAGTCCAATCTGACTGGTGTTCTTAGAAGAAATTTGGATACAGAGGCACCAAGGGTGAGCAACACAGAGGAAAGATCATGTGAGGATGCAGCCAGAAGGTGGCCATCTGCAAGCCAAGGAAACAAGTCTCAGAAGAAACCAAACCTACTGACACCTTGATCTTGGACTGTTAGGTCAGATACTATTTCTTATTCATCCTTGTATTCCCAGATTGTCACATAGTAGGTGACAGATAGGAGGTAGCTCCAGTTCCCTCCTACCCCACCATTCCATTGCAACTTCCCTCTCCTAGGTCACCAGCAATCTCCTTGCGGATAAATCCATTCTATACTTTTTAGTCCTTTCTTTCTTGCCTTTTCTGCAGTATTTGACTCTGTGGAGCACTCTCTATTCTTCAATCCCTCCCACTCCTTTGCTTTACCTCCTACTATTCCAGCTATCCTTTTTCAGTCTCATTTGAGGATTTCTCCTCTTCTGTGTGTCATTAAAATGTTGCATATTCTTTGGGGTTCTATCTTTGGCTGTCTTCTCTCAGCACTCAATACACTCTCTTGAAGCCATCTCTTCCATTCCCGTGTCTTCAGCTAGCACCTTTTGCTAATAACTGCCAAATTTAAATCACCAGCCCAGAATTCCTTTCTAAATGTCCATATACACAACTGTTTACAGGGCATCTCCACTTACATGAAAATCAGAAAAGAAAACAACTGCTTGAGTTCAAAGCCTTGCTCCCTCATTAAGATGCATGGCATTGGGCAAGTTACTTACCTCTCTGGGCCTCAGATAATAATAATAATGATAATTATGGAGTTTGGGGTACTAAATGAAATAATTCATAGATAATTCATATACAGCACTTAGCACAGTGCCTAGCAATAAATGTTGATAGTAGTGATTAAAGTTCTTCAGAAAGCTCAATTCAAAAGATTTAAAAGTGAATTCGTCACTGTAACTGAGACTTTCTCTTCATTCTTTGTCCTAAATCTTAGTAAATGACACTACTATCTACCCAATCAGAAACCTGGGTATTATCCTTGTTTCCACCACTGCCTCCCCCAACCCATCTTACCAGGGGCTCTTCCTCAACTTAACCTTGTTGTAACATACCTACGATCCATTGAGTATTTCCAATGTCCAGGCTTTACACATATTCATTGAGTCATTCCATAGAACAATCTTGCAAACTAGGTGCTATTATTATCATCCCTATTTTTCAGATGCAGAATTTGAGATACAGAAACCTTAAGTAACTCATCTAAGTTTATATGAGAGGCAAAGATGGGCTAAAAACCGAGGCAATCTGGTTTCAATCTCCATGCTCACAACCACTATGCCATATGCCATACTGTTTCTACTATAATCCTTATCACATCCTGTTGTTTACCTCCTCTCCCCTACTAGACTCTGATTTGTTTGCAGCAGCATCTTCAGTGACTATAACAGTGCCTGGCAAACTGTGCCTGCTTAATATACCCAGTGAGTTCAATTATTCCTCAGAGATAAGACAAAGTCTAAATATATGGAAACAATAGAACAGCCATCAGCTTGCATTCGACTAGGGCCAGGTTTAGAGGTTTTGTTTGTGGAGAAAGTGTTTTTGTTTGTTTGTTTGTTTATGTGAGGATGACAAGCAGGAGACTGGAGTTAGAGATAAGTAGAGGTTAAGTCTACGATGATATTGATATTCACTGATTCAACAGTTATTGCTATAATCCTTTTAAGGAAGGGAAATTTGACAAATAAACTCGTAAGAACTCATATTCTTTTGAGTGCAGGTACTACCAATTTTTTTTAAACTCCTTTTTTTTTTTTTAAAAAAAAGAGGCTACTACCTACTCCCATGTCACTCAAATTTTGTTAAAGTACTCAATTTCAGTGCTATGCAAGGTGGTTCAGATGAACTATCATGCTAGATATGAGAATTAAAATTTTAATCGGGGGACAAATAAAAATGTAAGCTCAAGCAGAATGTCAATTTGCAGTTGGGGTCAATTTAAGTGTGCAGTTAGTTTATATTCGGCACCACCTGGCGTGCACTGTGTACTGTGTGACTTACTGTATCATAATAAACAAACAGACATGTTAGTTTTCTTAAACAGTAGCAAGAAAAATGCTTGCTGCGCAGCCGCCAGCCAGTCAGTGCAGGCCCTGGGCAGCCCCCAAGAGAGGGAAGTAAAAATTCCATGACTAAATTTGTCCCTTCCTATTTCATCTCCTCCATTTGTTCAGGCCTTCCTCCCTTTCGCCACAGGGTTATTTCCTTAATCCTCCTGACCCCATCTGCAAGGTTTCATCCTGTGCCACATTGGAAAATTTTTCAGAGCACCTGAGCTCAGCAAAACAGTATTTTCTTTTTCTCCCACTGGGTAGTAAAACAGTGCCAACCCAGGCTCTGAGCCTCATTAGACTAACCAGGCAAGAAGTCAGGCAAAACACTGTTTATATCCACACCATAGCTCTCTCTCGAGCTTCTGGCATGAAGACCAGGATAGCTCCAAAGCTGCTTTGGTGTTTTTTTTCCCCCTACACGGCCTTCATGAAGAATAATTAGTCATATTCGTAAGTAGTAATTAATTACAGTTTATAGGCTCTAGCTAGGCACAATATAAATGTTTTCTCTGAAAATCAAGTTAGAAGAAACAAGATGTAAAACAACAATTGAAATAAAGACTTGAACTGAATGGTCCCAAGCACTGTCAAAAGAACAGTGTAATCTATCTCTGCAATAATGAGCATATAATAGTAGGATCGGTTTCAGGCTATTTCCCTATCCCGCTGGGCAAGTGTTGGCTCAGCAAAAGAAAAAAAGAAAAAAGAAAAATTCGCATTTTGTCATTTTTAAAATAAATATCAAATTGTTGAAAAAGATGTGTATTCTTTATTTTTTAGGACACAAAATCCCACATACAACTATTAGATTGATAGGTGAATATATTTTTCAATTGTTCTTTGTATTTATAGGCCTTCCTGGCTCTCAAATATGTTTTGTTTTTTTCTTTCTTTCTTTCCTTGTGTCTGTTCTCTCTTGAAGCTGTAGGGTGGGGAAGTCTAAAAATAGTCCATGAATCACGGCAGATAATACTGTGCAGCAGTTACATAAACAGCCGGCCCGGGCGCCCGGGCCGAGGGTAGGAACGGAAAATATCTGGGTCAGCGTTGTCACTCTGAATAGGGTCCCATATGTTTTGTTTTTTTCTTTCTTTCTTTCCTTGTGTCTGTTCTCTCTTGAAGCTGTAGGGTGGGGAAGTCTAAAAATAGTCCATGAATCACGGCAGATAATACTGTGCAGCAGTTACATAAACAGCCGGCCCGGGCGCCCGGGCCGAGGGTAGGAACGGAAAATATCTGGGTCAGCGTTGTCACTCTGAATAGGGTCCCCGGGAGCCGGCCTGCGGGAGGCGCGGCCGCGTTGGAGGCTTGGGCCTGCAGGCGGGGAGCAGCAGGGGAGCG